TGTTTCAGCACGGTTGCATGGCCCTCAAACAACATTATATCGTATTCCTACTGCTTTGTGCGTGACTTTTTGTTAAGTCATTTGCGTGGCCATTTGTTTCAGTAAGATTGCGTGGCCATTAATTTAGAGAGCGTGGCCATAATGAATCGTCGATCTAACCTTCAAAGCGTTCGCGGAGTAGCACATTAATTTACTTTATTTTTATTCATTTGGATTTTCTGAAAGTAATGCCTGAATCTGTAAATAATTGTATTTAATTTCAATATAAAGTAATTTAAAAGAAGGTACTTGCAAAATAATATGTGCCTTGCAATGTAATGCACATCGCGATCAGTATTATTGCATATATTACTTGCTATACATAACTGCAAAATAAATTTGTTATTTATAATTATTGAATGAATAAATAATTAATTATAGTTACCCTTTATTATAATATCAATTTAACGATCAAGCACTAGGCCAGCTTGCGTGAAGTTATACGTAAGTAGTAAGTGTAAGTTACTTGTGGTAAACGTATTTATTTAAACTACTCAGGTTATTCTACTTCGAGTCACTTGAGTGTTGATTTTTGTTATTATATTACAAAATTGCACTAGATCACCTTACCACTTAAATAATACCTGTAACTATTCCTTGGGTTACATAAGAGCAATATTTTCCGTTTGGATTAATAAATCTAACACCATACACACAACTTTTTTTTTTCAGTGTAAAATATCCACTAATCACTTTATTTATTGATGCAAGGTGTAAATGAAATTAAATATACGTCAATAATTGACACTTCAGCGATTATTGATACCTAGGTACTTGTAAAGTAGTTACCAGTTCTTATTTGGGTATATTATCACATATCAATTCGCACCAATATGAAATGATTATGTGAATTAAAATACTTGAAGGTATCATCATGTGAGCCATACGATTTAATCAACCAGTTTGACCACGATTGACTTTTCTACGAGCTATGTGCTTAGACACCCTTGTGCTACTTTGAATTCGTCACATAGTTCATCGATATGCTCTAAGGTTCATTGTCACTTTTTCGTTTTGCATCAAGTGCTGTACTGCTTTACTTTGGACAGAAGGAGATTCACTTAAATTGGAAACAAAACGAACCTGCATATCGCTGCTTTTCAAGAATAGCGGTTCAACTTGAAATTGATCCTGTTTTTTTCTGACATTTATTCACAAAAGGCAAAATTTTGATGTGAATTAGACTACAAATGTTTTCGTTAGGTATAATAGATGATCAAACGAACTTCTGAAGTGAAGTTCGATCATTATTATATGAGTCGCTTCATTCGAAGATATAATTTTACCATGTAGTCCCCCTAGCCTACAAGGCGACTTCGCACATTTTTAAGAGACTATTCATTGACTTAACTAATAAAAAAGTAACTCGTTCGCGCCGTCTAGCAACCCCCGCCACCAGCGACTTTTACTCATTCTTTTTAGAGAAAAAACAAGACTTTCGTTTAAGGGTTACGTTTGGGAAGGGCGGGTTATTATATCTTCGAATGAAGCGACTCATATAATAATGATCGAACTTCACTTCAGAAGTTCGTTTGATCATCTATTATATTTCGTCGCTTCATTCTTCAGATATAATTTTACCATGTAGACTTTCAGAGTGAAAGTTTTGTTTTAAATTTAAAGACTGTTTTAGAAAACAAAGGTACTTTTATTCCTGATTTAATTATAAAAAATTACAAATATATCTACTTCTTGGTTTTATTAAGTAATTAATTACTAAGTATAAAATCAACTTCTTGATAATGATAAGCAAATGGATCTTGCAAAATTGCCATCATCCACGATGGTTCTGTGGTAGAATTGGGCAAAGATGTTTGACGAAGAGGTCCAGCCTGCGGTTTTCCTAATAGTATCAATACTAACTCCTGCGCGACTTGCGGCCGAGGTGGACGCGTGCCGCGTACTATGTGCACTGAACATTGATACGTCGACGCCGCTCTCTGACAGAACCTGTTTAATCCATCTGCTGATGGTTTGTGAAGAAGCAGCCCTATGAGGTGGCTTATACGTCAATAGAAGGTTACCCTGACTAACAGTTCGCTTATTTTCTGTTACAAAAATATAGTCTTTGAGAGCTGTAGCAGGGCAAATGGAGATATTCTCTCCGAAGAAGGGTAACAAGAGAAGAGGTTGTTCACGACCCGGGGCAGATGTTTTAATTATGTCTGAGATGGCTATCCTTATTCCAGTCTCAGTGATGGTAATGTTTTCGAGTTTGATGAGGGAAATAGTTTGAACTCTATGGGCTGTGCATAGCGCTAGTAGAATAGCCAACTTTTTGGTTATTTTTTCTAAATTTAGGCCTGTATTCGGGAACCAACTGGAAATGTAATTTAGGACTAATTGAGGGTTCCATGTATAGACGTATTTGGGCTGACTGGGTTTCAATTTGTAAGCGCCTTTCAATAGGCGTTTGACGCACTCGTCAGAACCGATATTGTTGCCTAATAACAGGGATAAGGCTGAACGATGACTATTGAGTGTACCGTAGGCACAACCCTCTCTAAACTGTTTTGATAAAAAGGAGAGAACTGAAGACTTATTGGGTTCAAATATGTCTACAGCCTTGGCCGTACAGAATTGCCACCAGAGCTTATATGTACCACTGTACTGTTTTATCGTACTGTCAGACAGCGATGCTAGCATCAAATTCATTGCGTCCGGTGGAGAACCTCGTCGGCAGAAGGATTGCTGCAAAGCCTCGCGACACCCAGGGTAAGGTTGGCGTGCATGGGATGTTGCTCCCTGAAACGAGAATTAAGTAGAGATTTATTCGGTCTGAAATATAAGATTTCAGAAGCTAGTAAGCTCTGCAGCAAGGGGTACCAGGGTTGTGATGGCCAATCAGGAAAAACTAAGATGCCATTTGCTTGATCGTCTATGATTTTTCTAAGACATTTTAACATTACAGAAAATGGTGGGAATGCGTAGAAATACGTCTTACGCCAACTTATTGTAAAGGCGTCTACGATTACGGCATCCGGGTCAGGTTTCCAGGAGACGTAGTTCTCGCATTTGGCGTTGGCGCGAGAAGCGAACAAGTCGATTTCCGGCTGACCGAAACGACCCACAATTGTTTGAAAGGCAGTGTCTGATAATTCCCATTCTGTATCGGGGTTTATAATTCTTGATTCTGAATCCGCGATATTTTCTTTTGTGTTAACATACGACGCAAAGATCCATATGTTTCGCTCCTCGCACCATTGCCAAATTAAACGTGATAAATTATTTAAATGGGGGAATTGTATTCCACCCATACGATTGACATAGCTTATTGCTGTCGTATTATCTACCCGCAACAGTATTGCACAGTTCGTAATTTGTTGCGCAAAACTCTTCAGCCCTAGGAATACCGCTTGCAACTCCAAATAATTGATGTGTAAGTCGATTTCGTCGACCTTCCACCTACCGTTTGTTCGGTTGTTTCCACACACCGCGCCCCAGCCCGTACCGGAGGCGTCGGGGTAGATTTCATGTTCGAAATGGGAGTACCTCATTGGACTATACGTTGAGTGTATATTAGTTGCCCACCAGTATAAATCTTCCAGTATAAGGTTTGAAGGTTTAATTTTAGCGTCATAATCATTATTGTTTTCTAATAATGCCAAAAATTTTTGTCTCTCCAAAGTCTTTGTGTATAGCCAGCCGTATTTTACGGCCGGACAAGCAGCAACTAATACTCCAGTCAACTGAGAGAATTCTCGGATGCTACATCTTGGAAGGTATGAAAATTTTTGAACCAACTGGGCAATTTTTTTGCGCTTGTCATCTGGCAACATTAATGACAAGTTTCTCGAATCAAAATTGAAGCCGAGAAATTTACATACCTGTTTAGGTTCCAGGGAACTTTTGACAGAATTTATAACAAACCCTAAACATTGTAGTAATCTCAAAGTCTCATTAACATTGTTGACACAATCACCGTAACTGTCGTCGATACATAGAATATCGTCTAAGTATATAACGGATCTGAAACCTCGACTTCGTAAATGAGAAATAACCTCTTTCATTATTTTTGTGAAAACTCTAGGAGCTACGGATAAGCCGTATGGCATAGCCGTGAACTCGTAAGTAAGCAAACCTTTTTGTGAATCAATTTGAAAACGTAAGTATTTTCTATCGTCACGATTAATTGGAATAAGAAGATAAGCTTCCTTCAAGTCTATTGTGGCCATGTAGCCATTTTTAGGTATTAATTTTGCTGCAGTTCGGTGATCCTCCATCTTAAAATGTGACTTGGAGATAAACTTGTTGAGGGACTTAAGGTTCAGTATAAACCGTTTGTCGCCGTTAGACTTGGGTGCGAGAAAAATTTTTGATATAAACTGGTCTCTAATTGGCGAACACTCAGATATGGCTCCTAAATGTATTAACTTTAGAATAGCCGTGTCCATGTCATGTTTTTCGTTCGGTGAAAAACTATTAATAGGTATAACTGATTGTTTTACCATTTTACTAAAGGGAAGGGAGAAACCGTCCCTAATCCAATTTAGTACAGACGTATTAGAAGTTATATGAAGCCAACATTTATAAAAATTACTAATTCTTCCAGCGTGTGATAATACCTGGTTTACGGTGCTGGTGCACGTGGTCTCCCTTGATTCACAACTTTGTTCGTTGGCGGCGCCGCGAATGGCCGGCGGGTGCTCGGTGTCGTCCTCTTGGCTCCTCCGCGCCCCCCCCTGTTCGACGAGTAACGATGGGGGGCTGGCCAGTTTCCCGAGTACGTCGGTCGAGACCCCGTTGGTGGTGTGGTTACGGAGGTCTTCGTGACAGTAACCTTCTTGATTTGAAGACCTTGTTTCTCGATGGCTTTTGCAGCCTTTATCTTATCTGGCAATTTATTGCCAAACACCGTCTCGTCTCGTTCCGCGTCCTGGATAACGTGCAGAAAAGTTTTGTCCAGGCTGGGTGTCAGGAGCTTTATACGACTCTGAGTGGACGCCGAATGAAGGTCACATAAGATGCGGCAGCCATTGCTAAGATGTTTCATGGCCTGTACCTTGTCGTCAGTTTTACATAGAAGGATATCCATGGCTTTATTTATAGCCGTGATACCAACCCCAAGTTGTTGCTGGGAAATTGATAAATTTTTGTCGCGGTTTCTCACCATATCGGGTACTGCAGCTGATATTTCTGCGTTCAATTTGGGCGCTTGCAGTAAGCGGCAATTATCGGGTATGAGGTATTCCTTTAGGATTTTTTCCTTATTTTCTTTTGTCATACCTTTTTTGAGTAAAGGTAACCAAAGCTTTGTCAAATTTTCGTGTATTTTGACGCCGAATTCGGGGTTAGTTTCTGTCGATTCACCCAAGGCCGATATCAAGTCTGGGTCTAAATCTGATATTTCAGGGAGTGCAGGTGCATCGCACACGTTTTCCGGTAGGGAAATTTCTTTGTTGGGATTTAAGACTGTAATCTCGTTGAGATTTTCGACTAGTGGGCCCTCTGAGGCCTTGTCGTATTCTTGGGCCTGGGTTTGTTGGGCCTGAGCATCGTGATAACCCTCTTCAATCTGGCAATCTAAAAATAATGCACAATTTTATTGAATTTCTTTTTTTTTTTTTTTTGAGGGTAGACTTGAAAAAATAAATTATAACGTGGAATAAATTGTTGTTCGATAGTTGCGCAAAGGAACGTGTATCTATTTAAGATACACGTATTTTTGCTTGTTTGCATCGTTGGAGACTCGCAGTCAACCCCGATGTGTATTTTGTCATAGTTATTGACTCACGGTCAATCCCTATGCGTATATTGACAATAAGAGATAAAATTTATTGTAAATAATGTGTAAGAGTAAATATAACTCACCGTGATCTAGTTCCGCTTCCGAAGATTCGGAATCACTTTGTATAACCATTATTCGTTTTCGTTCTGCTTCGAGTTTTTGGATTTTTTTCTTATAACGATCGATTTTTTCCTGTGCACGTCGCTTGAGCATTTTCAAATTTTATAATATAAGCACAGGTATATGGATATATATGTCTATATATATGTGTATATATGTACTCGAGCAGAGCACGTGCGTTCGTCGCCTCGCACGAAAAAGGAATGAGTAAAAGTCGCTGGTGGCGGGGGTTGCTAGACGGCGCGAACGAGTTACTTTTTTATTAGTTAAGTCAATGAATAGTCTCTTAAAAATGTGCGAAGTCGCCTTGTAGGCTAGGGGGACTACATGGTAAAATTATATCTGAAGAATGAAGCGACGAAATATAATAAGAGATTAATGACAACATTGGGGTGGTATTCGTTAACTTTGCGTAGCACACACTACATGGACCTGACATATCACTAGCTTTTGAGATAGGCCGCCATAGTACATAGTTATCGATATATAGGATTAAACCTTGAGACAATTGTAGACCAAACATTGTCAATTTTCATAAACAAGCATAGCTCCTGTCTAAGAGGAACTGTAGGATTTTGCGCTCCTTCGCATTTTATGGTCATGTTGATCGCATAACTGATATAACTTATAATTTTCAGTTTTGAGTGCGTACACTGACGTAACTCCAATTTACAACTCATGGATCACTCCTTCGTATTTCATGACCATATAGATTATAAACTGACTTAACATTTTTATAAGTAACTTCCATTACTTGTAAAACATTACAATTTTCACCTTATGGGGCACTCAAGGTGTTTTCACTCCTTCATATTTGTTGTTCTATTCGGCTAATAGTTACAGGCACTATTTGTTGTTGTGTAGTCGAATTTATCAATATCAAGCGTATTTGTTGAAAACATTTTTTCTTTTAGATGTTGCTGATTGTACTTTATTATTTCCAACATCACTACTTAATGATAATTACCATATTAATGCCAACAAACGGGAATGTTGTTATGAATCAGTTTTTTGAAAGGACAGCATAAACCAGTCATTCAATGAGTAGGTAAGTATTTTAATATAGTGACAAAGATGTTCACAAAATGTAAGCTGCTGCTTACACTTTTGCAGGCCATGTCTAATTAGCAAAGAAAGGATTGGCACTGCTGAATTAATAACGTAATGTTGGTCAAAGTTTATTTTCTTTAATTTTTTTTTTTCATATTTTTAACATGAAGTTTGTTTAAATTGCAAGCAACAAATCTACTCTGGTTATCAATTTCCCTGTAAAGTCACTCACATATTACGTATAGTCGTAGGTGAACATCGTAATTTGTAGTTCATACGTAATCTTGCAATGTAAGTTAGCAATTTCAATACAGGTAATACAAACTACACAACAACGAGGACATTTATTTTTTGTAAGTATTAGCAGGCACTTGTGTTTTGGGCTAGTTTAGTAGCCAACGGTATAAGTTTGTTTATATCATTTCTCGAGCTAATAGAATACGACACGGGTGTGTACACCATGGTATGCGGATAATATGTTATTTAATGGACTTCAATCAATCATCAAAAGAATCATTTCAACTCACGCACGGCACATACTTCCAATATGCAGATATTATATTTATATGCCTTAGTGAAATGGATTCTAATGATTTGAAATAGTGATACATACCTCCACTTCTTTCTTTTTTTTTTAACAAAGTTGAGTCGGAGCTGATAACCTCGACGACATTTCGAAATATTATTAATTCTACTCACGTTCTTTATCCTCGTCGCCATTTGTGGCGTTTACGCTACTTAGTATAGGGATAGCTCAATGAAACAACATGTATTTACTTCACGTACACGTGCGATACGTCCGCTCACACCACTGTCTAGTGTCGTAGTGCCGGAACGGCGGGCCGCAGTGTAACTTATATTGTCTAATGTCTGTGGTACATTATGTGCATACACTACAATACCTACTAAAACTCTACTATACTATACACTGTTTTCAATGAATGAAAAGCATGTTCACACGCTTCAGTCCATTTAAATGTTACATTTTTACAACACAACCTGTTAAGAGGATAAGCTTTGGGTATAAAAAAAAGCTGCAAAATTGGGTATAAATTTACGGTAATAATTCGCAAACGCCACGAACCTCTTTACGTCATCTGTGTTAGCGGGTTTTGGGTAATTTTCTAATACTTTAGTTTTTTCTGGGTCAGGTAAAATACCTTTTTCTGATATTACATGGCCAAGGTACAAAATTGGCTTTTGTAAAAATTTACATTTTGCTGGATTTAATTTCCGTTTAAATTAACCGAGACAAAATATCCATTAAATTTTTATTATGATTTTCGAGGTTTCTACCAAAAACACGTAGGTCATCTTGATATACCAAACACTGCTCGTAATTTAATTCCGACATAGCAATCGTAATCATTCTAGAAAACGCATTGGGACTAGTTTTTAGTCCCATTGGTAATCTAGTCATTTTATTGATTTTTGGTTGTTGTGAATGCCGTGTAATGCCGACTGTTTTTATTTAATCTTATTTGATAAAATCCTTGATAGAGATCTAAAGTAGTGAAATACATTGCACCAGACAACGAATCTAGAATGTCTGAAATATTTGGCAGAAGAAACTTGTCATCTTGAACAACTGCCTCCGTGGCCGAACGGTTACCATGCCGGACTGCCACGCAGAGGTCCCAGGTTCGATTCCCGGGCCGGGAGAAATGTTTGTATGGCTTACATTTATTTCTCTCGTGAATTTGGGTGTAATTTGTGGTTGTCTATGTGTGTGTCCATGGCACCCGCGACACAGGGTTTCCCTAGTGCGGGGCTATGTTGAGTGTGTGCGTTATTTATTATTATTATTATTATTATTATTATTTATTTTTCATTTAATTTTATGTAGTCAATTACTACACGCCATTTTTTAATACCCGTTGAATCTAGCTTTTTAGATACTAGTAATAATGGACTCGGCCAGGCACTCCTACATTCCTCTATTATTCCATCGTCTTGCATACTTTTTATTTGTTTATCTATTTCCGATTTTTAACTTTGTGGTAAACGATACGGCTTTACGTAAACAGGAGTAGTGTGTGGCTTTAATTCAATAGTATGGTCGTGTAAAGGTCAATTTATCTCCTGGTACGTGAAAGACGTCTGGAAATTTGGCACAAATGTTTTCAATAGACTTTTGTTCTTCCTCATTTAGATTTCAAATTTTAGTAAAGAACACAAAGACTTGACCCTCTCTGCGCTCATATTTTATTTTTATTTTTATTTATTCATTTATTTCAGGCAACTAAGGCCCATATAACAAATACCTTACAGACTAACATACATATTATTATTTTTGATACATACCTTACAAACTAACATACATATAAAATAATATAAACTTATTAACTATTTACACGAATTACTATTCGGCGACGTGCGACGCAAACAAGTGTCATGTATCGTTCCTCTGAACCGCCGGAACATGACACCCTTCGGCCAAAACTCTACCTGCATGAAGGTCGACAGATGGACCGTTGGGACCCTCACCACAAACGAATTAAAGTTAACGTTGTGGCGAGACGCCAAACGTTCGACCCTCAGGGTGAATTGGGCTTTCAACCGGATATACTCCACTATATCCTCAGACTTCGTGGAGTAATGCAGTCGAGACAGGTACAACTGCGTCGTCGGTATGGCCGCACGAAGCAAGAAGTTCTGTCCCGTTGGAGCTGTGCCACATAGATTTCGGCTGGTGGGTTTCTTTCTTCTCTTCTCCACCTTTGTGAAGCCGTCCTCGTCGCACCTGTCGGTCTGCCTCTGAGATTTGGCACCTGCGATTCCAGAGACAGGCATTCGGGGTTTACTACCGCCCTTTGCAGTTTTCCGCAACTCGGGTTTTGAAGTCGCGGTTCCGCTGCTAATAGTCGCGGCAACAGCGGCGTATGCACGCCCGGGCGATGACGTGCATACGGGTGACGTAACCTCCGAGGCGGAGGGGCGGGCAGGGGGGCACGGTGCATTGACAACAGCAATGACCGGCGACATACGAGCCGACTCAATACTGCCGACGGATGCTTTTCGCGCTCCGCGACGCGTGTTGACGTAGGAGACTGTCGGTGACCTACATACCGAAGCGGGGTTGCGTAACAACGCAACTTCGGCACGTAGCCCACTTATGGAGTTATCCGACGCCTCCAATTTTGACTGAACTTCAGCC